ATCAACACTAGACAGAACTATTGATTCCTCCCCCAAAAGCCTATTTCTCCCTATTTCTTCTCCACCTCCATAAATGGCACCACTGTCCAACCAGTGGGTCAAGCCAAAAACCTCAGGTCAGCTTTGATGTCTCTGTTTGAGTGCCCCAAACCATCAGCAGGTCTATTGGCTCCTCTCAAAATGCACACTGAATCCCCCACCTTTTCCATCCCCACTGCAATCACTCTGGTTGAGGCACCACTACTGTTGTGCCTCCCCTGGACTATTACAGCATCTTCCAAGAGGTCTCCCAACTTCCTCTCTCTACAAACCATCTCCACACAGCAGCTGCAGCAATCTTCAAAAATTACTGAAACTGAGGGTCGGCCGAGTGGCGTGTTGGTTAAGAGTTGGCTTGAGATGCCAGCTCTGAGCATCAGGGCCCCGGTTCGGATCCGACATGAAGGCCAGTGACGTTGCGCCCTCTACAGCTAAGATGGTGAACAACAGCTCGACCTGGATCTGGGCTGCTGTGAGCTACTGTGAGTGGCTGGCAGCAGGCGTGAGCTGCCGTGAGCTGCCATGAGCCACTGTGAGCGGCTGTCCAATGGTTGGCGAGAGACTGCCTCACACAGGAAGAGTGCAATGATAATACCAACATGGGCCAGTGAAGTGACATCCTCCACAACTAGACTAAAGAACAAAAAGACAGCAACTTGTCTGTTCCCCTCCCCCAATTTCCCAATAAAATCTTAAAAAAAAAATTACTGAATCTGACTATATTACACTGCGTTCCCCAAATCCACCAAGGGTGTCCATAATGCAGAGTCAAATCTGAACTCCCTACAGGGATCTTCCAGGCTTTCTAAGACCTTTCTAAGACCCTGCCTCTGCCATTACCTTTTCCCATGTCCCATCAGTCAATGCACCCCACCCACACTGTCCCTCCAAGCCACTCCCACCTCAGGGTCTTTGCAGTTGCTCTCCCGTCTGCCTGGACATCCTTCCCCAGATCTTCACCCAACTGGCTCCTTCTTGGTATCCAGGTCTCGGCTCAAATGACCACCTCTATTCAGAGAGTCCTTCTCTGACCACCTCATCTAAAGATGCTCTCCCTGGTACTTTACTTGGTTTTAATTCCATCAGAGCACTCATCATTATCTAAAATTATCTGGTTTACTTTTATGTGTTTATTATTGGTTCCCTCTGAGAATGTTCTTTTCACATTCTGAAGCTATCATAGTCTTTTATTTACTTGTTTTCTGTTTCTTTCCCTTACCTGAATGTAAGCTGTAGGAAGGCAGGGCCCTACCTGGTTCACAGTTCTATCCCACTAGCTCCTGTTGACTGATTAATTAAATGAATGAGTAAACTCAAAATGTGTCCATAGAGTGAAATTGGCTTGGGGAGAAAAGCGAATGTGGCATTAGTCACCATTACTGCAAATACAGAATATTAACAGGGAGGATGTAGTCTGTACAGATGGGAGCATCCCTGGATTACTGTACTTGGTTCTGGTTGCTGCACTGCCACAGGGACCAGCAGTGTGGGCAGTAAACTGACCAAGTTGGCACATGAGGGGAAACTTAGAAAACCAGAGGTATTCGGCTTGCAGAAACAAGAAATCCTAGGAGGAATATTGCTGCCACCTTTTAATATCTAAAGGGCTATTGAAAGAGGGATAGACTTGGTTTGGAGCCCTAAAGGCCCAGTCCAGGTCAATGGGTATGAGTCTGATAGAGACAGATTTCCAAACAGGAAGAAAGTGGTCTTTTGACAGTCAGAGTCCATAACAAGGGAAGGGACTGCTTTATGAAGTGGAGAGCTCCCCATCTAAGGAAGTGTATAAGTGGATAACCATTTGGCAAGGATGTTGAGGGGGGGACTCAAGCAACAGCAGATGGCCTCCAAGATCCCTTTCAAACTTGAGATGTCCAGTTTCTAAGATATATAGGGACACAGTCCAGAAAAAATTTCTGGCTAACAAGAGTTCTAGAACGTACTTATTTAGCCGCCTCATAGCAGAAAACATCACCCAAACCAGGTCTACCAATTAAGCAGTGGAAAGATTAGCTGAGAGGGGTCTTGTGGGCCTGAAGCCATCTCAGAAACACGCTGGGGAGCTCCCTGGATTTGAAATCTGTTATTGATGTGTGATCATCCAGAAGATGGGCCTGCCAAATATTTTGACTATCCAAAAAGATGCCTCAGTTTCTAGGGGGAAGATATCCACCACTGTCGGGTAGAGGCTAAGATGGTCCTGGGTTTGCTCTCTGAAACTCCACCACTTCTTCTTCTTCCCCTTCTTCTTCTTCATCATTAGTTTCAGGTGTACAAAACAGTATACTATTGGGTTGTCGGAAAAGTCATGACGCATTTTTGCAACGAAAAACATAGAAAAAATGCGTCATGACTTTTCCGACAGCCCAATAGTTATCCATGTCACCCCTCACAACGTGATATAACTTTTCACCCCTCACAAAGTAAGTAGCTCCCCCAAGCTACTATCCCTCTGACATTGTATGTAGCTGTTACAGTTCCATTGGCTCTATTCCCTATGCTGTCCTTCACATCCTGTGACTATAGATACATATTGTAACCACAACATTGTCACCACTTCTTAACTGTAGGGCATCAAACAAAGAAATTAACCCCTCTAAACCCGTTGCCTCCTGTGTGAAAAGAATTTCATTTAAAAACAGGGGAGAGAGGAGCTGAAATAATAATGGCACAAATTTGATAATTAGTGAAACTCGGCAACAGACACATAGGCATTGACAATACCATTCTATTTGATGTGTTTGAAAATTTGCATAATAAAAAGTAAAAAGAGGGGAGTTTAAAATAGCACCTACCCTGTATATAATAATTGTAGGGCTTAAAGAAATCATCATCATTCCAAAGAATTTTTACAGATCTTAGTTATTACCATGAGTGTTTAAATATCCCATTTAATCATCCCAACAACCCTGTGAAAAGCATAGTAATCATCTGCATTTGGCAGATGAGGAAACTGAAGCTCATATAAATTAGACAAATCCTGCAGCTGTCACAGGGCTGAAATGCGATCTGAAACCAGCTATCTGGCTCCATCATCACAGCTGCCTTTATTTCAAGAATAGCTCGTTGTGTTCTACTTGGTTGATATCTACACGATTATGATATCGTTTACGCATCTAAGTCAGTGGTTTCCCAGCTTTTTTCTCAGTAGCAGAACCCTTTGTTTTTTCAAACGCAGCCTTTACTCAGAACTCCAGTAAGTAAAACCCCAAAAAGCTCTGGTTGAAGTGGGGATTGGGGCCCAGCCACCAGGCCATTTGAATGCAGGATGACTCCTGAAGTACCCTAGGGTCTATGAGCATAGTATGAAAACCCCGGTTTGAAGCCAACAATAACCACCAAAAGAAAACCAAAAAAAAAAACCCAAATCCCAAGAATTACATTTAAGGAGAGCCTCATTTGTGTAATGCAGCTTTCAGTCCCCTGTCTCCCATCACATCTGATACTCATGATCAGCTCTGAGGTGGACAAGACAGGGAATATCATCCTCAATTGGCAGATGAGAAAATCAAGGCCAAATGGAGTTAAGCAACTGGCCAAAGGTGCGCCAGTTCACTTTTCGGCCAAGTGCAGACTGGAAATCGAGTCTGTCTCTATTAACTTGGTGTGACCTGGCAGAGAGGCTGCCATCTACTGGAAATTGACACTGACCCTGCTTCACAAAATGGATAATCAGCTCCTTGGCCACTGAGAGCCTGAGCACAGCCCCACGGGCCCCCTGCCAAGGCCTTGTCCCAGAGCAGATGGGATAGGGGAGGGGAGAGAGGCTCAGTGCCACTGGACGGCCGAACAGCAGGATTTTGGCAGAAGTCAGGCCATTCCCATCCCAGCCATGTCTTGCTGAGCACGGGGCAGAGGAAGCAGTTAACAGCCAGAGCCGTCCACCTTCCTCTGCAGTCTGAAAAGGGTCAGCGGGGAGTGCAGACCTGAGTAGCTGTTGCATGTTGCCTTTCTTCTTAGCTCTTGCCTAGAAATCCCTGAAGCCAGATGCAGCTGATAAGTGCCTGAATAGTTCCCCCACTCCAGAGCAGCTCTGAACTGAGCTGGAGCATGTGTTGGAACAGGCAACACTTAATTATCACTTAGTCTTTAATTAGCCCCTAATTATTAACACTTAATCCATCTGTAAAATGGGGACGCTGATACCTGTCTCATAGGGACTCTGGGAGGATTAATTAATGTTTGCAGCCCACTTTGAAGATGCAAAGCATTGAACAAGTGCTCAACAGTGGCACTGATAACCACGGCAAATTTACTTGCTTTTCCTAACGAGGTCCTGTCTTCCTCTCCTTGTGCATATCCACCAGCAACGATATCTGAATAACTTTGCCCTGGTGGAGAAACATTTAGCTCTGTGTTTCCCAGACACAGGATTTCCCATCCCGGAAACAGGCTATTTCCACCCATCTCCTCACACTTTAATTTTCTATTATGTCCTCTAAATATGTCAATGCCTTCCCAGTAAATATTTTGATGTGCGCTCTCGCAGCAGCTTCTGTGGAGTCTGAATGGGACAGCTGCTCCCTATATTAGGGAATTCCAGATGTGGTTTTAAACCACCAGACTTATGTGCCAATGCCTAGCCTTTGGAGATAAGAGGGGGCAAGAATCTCCTTTTGCCTTCGGGAAGCCATGGGCATTTATACCCTTGGCCTGGCTAGAGTGGTTTGTCAAGGTCCTGAGAGCCACATCTGGTTGCCTTGAGGATGAGAACTGTCCCCTTAGTGGGCTGGTGAAGAGGCAGCAGAAAAATGGCCCTTGCCTGGCCCTTCACCCAGGTAACTCTATAGGAGTTATAGCTCTCCTATAAAGATTGGACAAAGAATATGGAGGGTAGAGGAAAAGTGCATAGCATTTAGGTGTTAACCAGACTGAACAATGGGCCAGAACCTTCCCCAAAAAGGTCAGCCCTCATTTCTTCCCTCTTCCTTTGGTGCCAGCCATGGAGAGGGGACACTCACTCTTCTTGGAGGCTAAGCCAGTTGTTTCTTGGAGTCCCAGCAATGGGGGCAGACAGCTGTTCCTTCGAGGTCCTGGGCTGCAAGGCCTCTGGCAGGCTCTGAACTCTCTTCCAGATTTCATGACAAGTCTTGTCTAAGCTGTCTTGGGGTGTGTCCTGGTGAACCCAGATGTATCTGGGGAACGGGCCCAGGGCAGACGGGCGCTTGGCCACCAGGGCCGAGGACAAGGGGAGCCCATTCCCGCTGGCCATCCTCCTCCTCTCTTTGTGAAAGCCCCTTTGTCTGCCCAGGTCTGGAAGTTGGAGGGACCATCCACCACCACCCTTCATTCACCAGAAAGGGAGATGAGGACGGGACAGAAGCAGGCCAGTTCCGTCTGGCTGTTGCCCCAACAAGGTGACTATGTTCAGAGGCCTCTGATTTGTGTGCCAGTGGTGGATGGAGGTCAGCTTTCTTTTGGGGTGGGGGAGCTTATTTTGATCTGTTTTTATTTGCTCTTTCCTAACTTTTGCCCCCCTCCCCCTCTCCCTGAGAAGAAAATATGTAAAAGTCAACAAAAACCAGTAGCTTAGTAACCTTGGAATCCCCCTGAGCTCAGGAACCAGAGGCCTGGGTGGGCAGAATGACATCTGGGAACAGCTGGAGGGGGAGGGCTGGTTCTCCCCACGGTCCCTGGCACTCCCCCGTTGCGACAAGCCCCTGACACCTTGGGGAGCCTGGGGCTCAGCCCATTCTCACCCGTTATGCCTCGCGGATGACTGGGTGAGAGCCTGGCACTGTGCTAGGCACAGGTGGGGCAGGAGCCGGCCATTGGGCTCTCACTCGGCCTTCCCAAGGACCCCAGCGCACACCGAGGGCCAACGCCCCCGGGCTGGCCCAGGTCCGCCTTGCTCGCCTCACTCGTCTCTCCTGATCCCTCTCCAGAGCCCGGCAGGAAAGTGCCCCAGTGTCCAGCGCCTGCTGCCTGCCTTGCCCAGCTGGGGACCCGCCCCGGGAAGGGTCTCCTCGCCTTAAAACGGTGCTGTATTGGTGGGAAAGTGGGGGACGGCTTGGGCAGATTTGCTTGCTGGTGGCTCCCACAAACTTCCGGTCCAGCGCTGGAATTCCTCTGTACGTTTCAAACGCAACGGCTCCGTGCGCGGGGTGCCCCGGGTGGGTTCGGTTGGGGTGGGGTGGGGTGGGGTCCGCAGTGTCCCAGCGCACTTTTGCCTCTGAAGTCTGTGGCACCGCGCCCCTGCTGGTCGCCACTCCGCACAAACCTGGGGGCCTGCCCTACCCCTCCATCATCTAATTTTGTCCCTACTGCCATTTTATTGAGCCCTTACATTATGTCAAGCGCTCTGTGTTTTTATATTCAATCCTAACAAGCTCACGAGTACCATTGTTTCTTTCCGTCATACATTTAAGGAAACTGAGTCTCCAAGCCATAAAGAGGTGTGTCCAAGGTCCACTAGGAAGCGGGGAGCTGGGATTCAAACCCAGGCTCCCCAGGCCTGATCTCACGCTCTCAGCCACTGAGAAAGACTGGTCCCTTCTGTGCTGGGGGTGGGAGTGGGGGGCTGGGAGAAAGTTCAAAGAGAAGGGCTCAGTTAGCCTGCTGCCCAGTGAACTCCTCCCCTCACTGAAGGTTCTTCTTCAACTCAGAACTGACATAGCACCTCCGCCTGCAGGGGATCTCTAGGCCAAGGAGCCCGCGGTCATACCTCCAGTATTTACCCGGAAAAAGAAGAGCGAGAGGGCAGGAAAGCAGAATGGATGTGACTAGAGGAGATGGCAGCCTATAGACGACAGCTGAATCCTGACATTGCCACTTCCTGTGTGACGCTAACGATTATCTTTGCTTCTTCCATCATTCATTCATTCATTTCCCAAATATTGATGGGACCCTCCCTCTGTGCCAGATGAGTTGCTGGGCACTGAGGAAGCCTGAAGGTGAACAAAACTGGCGTGGTCCCTGCTCTCCTGTAGCCTGTATTCTCGTGGAAGGAGAGAGATCAAAAGCTCGCAAAGCAAGTAAACAAGCAGTGATTACAGATGAAATGGGGACTCTGACGGGAACCTACCACCAAAGTGAGGCAACGGGAAGGGGAATAATGGTGGCATTAGATGGTGGTCCAGGCAGGCCTCTTGGAGGAGATGAGGTAACATTCGAGATGAAACAGAGGGATGAGAAGGAATTCTTTCCTGTAAAATGATGTAAATAAATTATTATAAAGATCACACTGATGGCGTATAGTAGATACTCAATAAATATGTGTTGGATGAGTTAATGGTATACTGTATGGAAAGCGCCTGGCATACAGTAGGTGCTCAACACACAACCTTGCTCCTTACAGAGGGCCTAAGTTCCTAGAAATGTTGACGAAATTTTGAAATCCAAGCTTCAGTCCCCTTTGATTTGCATTATAAAATTGAAGATGTGTTCCTTTGGGGAAAATTCGGAGGACCTAGACTGAATACAATTATAGTTAAGAATGTAGAAAACCTTTTAAAGTAGTGTATTTAAAGGAAAAGTGATCATTTCTGATGAAATATGAATAGTTCTGAAAATGTTGCTCAGTGTTTGTCCTGCTTGGCATTTGGTTGGCTAACACCCATGCTTAGGGCAGAAGGCCCATGACCCTGCCCTGCCCAGGCCACAGGATTCTGGACAGTTAGCCAGCTCACTATAAAATACAGCAGGGATAGGGAACAAAGATAGGGGCATGTTTCTTGGAGTACACAGTGGAAGTTTCTAGAAGATTCTACAAAACACTTAAGTGACGCACTTAGAAACAGTACAAAGCTATGTCCAAGATTAACCACTAGACACTTTTAATTTTAACATAAATCAGATTACATTTTCAGTTCCTTGGTTACGTTAGCCACATTTCAAGAGCCACCTTTGGCCTGTGGCTGCCATACTGTACATACCGGAGAACATTTTCATGATCACAAACCAAATAGATTATAAGCCCAGACTACCTGGGTCCAAATTCTGAGTTCATGTTCTCTGGCAATGCAGGCTTAGGCAAGTGACTCTGCGCCTTCGTGCATTAGTTTGCGAGGGCTGCCATATAAAGGTACTATAGACTAAGTGGTTTCAACACCAGAAATTTATTTCCTCACAATTATGGAAATTTGAGACCAAGTTGTCAGCAGGGTTGGTTCCTTCGGAGGCCTCTCTTGGCTTATAGATGCGATCTCCTCCCTGTGTCTTCACATGGCCTTCTTTCCGTGCATGTCTGTGTTCTAATCTCTTCTTCTTACAAGGACACCAGTCATACCGGTGTCCTTGTTTTACCTTAAAACCACACTTTAAAGGCCCTACCTCCAAATAGTCACATTCTGAGTTACTGAGGATCAGGACGACAACATATAAATTGGAAGGGGGGAGCACCACTCAACTTATAACGCTTGGTCTCCCCATCTGCAAAATGGGATGATGATAATAATAATAATAAAAACCCCTGTTTTGTAGAATTGCTGTAGATGTGCTATTCCTAAGCGATTACTTACCATTTGGAAAAATCCCTAAAACAACACGTGGCACATAAGACACACATAAAAAGTGCTGTATATTAGTTTCCTTGTCAATTTCATTAAAACGTGAGTCACTGGAGTTTTTAAATAACAGATTTTGTGCTATGTGTAGGGAAGGGAGAACTTTCGCTGGACTGGGAATTTGCTCTGTGATGGAGGAATGGACTCGAATCATCAACGAAACCTTTCCATGAGCACCTGCCATGGGCTAAGATTGTGCAAGGTACAGGGCTAGGAGACGAATAAGACCTCCAGCCTAGACATTGTCACGGGCTAGTGAGGGGAGCAAAGCATTACATAGGTGCCTGGTACATAGCAGGGGTGGGGAAAACGGAGTGTGGTCCAGTCTCTGTTCAACATGTAGTTATGTTCCTGCAGCACATATATATCTATGTGCCCAGTACTGTTCAAGGTGTTGAAGACAGAATAGTGAAGAAGATAGGGCCTGGTCCCTGACGTTTTTCAGAGCTTGAAGTGAACCATTCAATGGCCATGGCCATGGGCACCATTTCCGCTATAAATGATTTTTAGTTTGGAAAAATTCTTAAATTACCCCTCAATACCCCTAGTATCCTGGGCAGGTTTGTTTAACCTATTAGACCTCAGTTGGTTCATCTGTGAAATAAGGATAATCAAACGCTGACCTCGTAGAGTCGTTTTGTGACAACTGAGGTAATAATACATATACTGTGCTGAGAATAGTCTGGCACATGCTCTGTACCAGGTGAATGCTAGCTATCGGGTTCTGGGATTCTTGCTTTTCTGTTTGAAGCCAGGAAAGCCTCAGGAGGAGGCAATCATTCCTACCTTTGTCTCAAGCCAAAGCCTCTACTCACCTGGCTTCCACCACTGACCCAAACGTGGCTTGGTTGGAGAATTCAGAAAGGTGAGCCTGGCATAGGGCTCTTTCAAGATCTTCACAGGCTCTAAGCCAGCTTATTCTTATGGGCCCTATCTTTCCTCTAACATATTTAAAACATACCCATCTCCCACCATAAATACAGCTTTTCAGCTGTAAAAGAAAAATTGAAAGGATTTTGCCATTTTGCTTTTGAAAATTTTGGGCCATGAGTAATTTATTTAATTTATGGTCCACTATGCTTTCTCACCAATCTTGATGCCTACCCGGGAAACCTTGTGCAGTGAGAAAACTCAAACCTACAAATGTAATAAATGTCATCAAATGTAATAAAATTTTTATGACTATTAAATTCAACAGTTAATGAAGTTGACATAATGTTACATTTTGCATTTAATTAAATATTTACTGATTTCCGTGTTGCAGTTTTCTTCTTTGTATTGTGGAGCTAATAACATTTTCAGGTCTCAGATTTTTTGTAGGCTCCTGAAAAACCACAGACACCTCTGTTACTCTGTTGCCTAATGGGTCAAACTGCCCAGAGGCAGATCCATGAATAGGGAGATCCCAGGCAATTGTTCTTGAGAGAGAAACTATCAGAACTGGAGGAAGAGGAGGGTACAGCCATGTGTCATGGGAATGGGCCTCCCCTGGATGTTGGCCTAACAACTGAACCCCACTTCAGAGCAGCTAGCCAATTCCAGGACTTTGAGAAGGATACCAGCGTTCTAGAAGCAAAAGTGTGACTCTGTGACTCCTCTTTCTTGGCAACACCATCAGCCATCCCTACCATTTCCCGAGGGATTTCATCTCTTATTACTGCCTCCATCCATTGTCCACGGGTGAGGAGATTGTTAAGAGCTTGGGCGGTAGCCTCTGACACACTTGAATGTGAATTCCTGCTCTGCTTACTAAAGGGTGGCTTTGCACACGCTCAACTTCTCTGGC